CTTGTTAGAGCATTCTGGCAAGGGGAAAAAATTAACCCTCTATACAATGCAGTGAACAGAGAAAATACTGTATTATGTACAATTGAAGACCTGGCAAAACAAAATGCAATGTTACAGTAGAATACTACGAAAGCGACAAAAACTTTCTAAGTAAAATTACCATTCTACATATCAGAATGGCAGAAGTATAAGAACAATGGCCATAATAACAATGAGGATAAATTGGGTAGAAACAGGTGGAAAATGTATCAAAACCAGAAAAGTGTACCAACCTTGCAGAATTATCCTCAAGGTACCTGATTTGGTGGATATTTCATTTCCTGAAGAATTATTTTCTTGTTTTGAAAGCACTGAGAGATGCAACTATCAGAAGCTGGGCTTTTTATTAACAAACCTGAAGAAAATGGGGTTGTAATGAAGTCAAAGTGAGAGCTAACAACAAATTCACTAATGACCCTGTCAGTGAATTTGTCTGCCACTGTCTGGAGAAGAAACAAATCTCAGACAAAATCTCGCATAAAGCTCAACAACAGCTTGCCTTGCAAGGTCTCCCAGCGTGAGGCTTTAGGACATTTCTTCTTCATGAAATAAGTTTAACTTAGATAAGCGATCTAAAAAAGAAAAGTTCACTGAGGAAAATGAATAAGGGATGGAAGCAGCTAAAGGTGTGAGATGGGATGAAAGTGTAAATAAAACTGAGTGAGGAGCCCTGCAGAATTATATAGAAACACACAGCAAAAATAACTAATAACCTCTGAGAATATTGCTGAACAGAATTTGAATACAAAAAGCAGACATGAAATGTAGGGATACACAGAGTAAGGTTACAAAAACATGTAATTTTCCTATGGTAAATTTACCACTGAACATCCTGTTCTAACAATAGTACTGTGATTCATGGTAAATTTACCACAGAAAGACTATATTTTTGGTGACCTCAGCTCACAGCTATCAATCTAGGAATAAGGGCAGTGTAAGCGTTTTAGGAGAATTTTGTGTGCAACTTAAAAAAGCCAAGATGAATGTAAAGATAAGAAGACATTCCTAAGAAGAGAGAGCTGGAAAACCACATAGCAGTTGGCCAGACATCTCTTTCAGCAGAAGGTTCAAAATATTGTTAAAGCAGGACAGAAATTTCATAGCCATCTTCAAAGCAATTATTGCTTCCTCAGACAAGAGGCTATTGGATATAGTATGGATATAGTTTGAATCTCAATTACTCAGTCTAATACCATGCAGTAAATATAGAAATACTGGCAAAGTGCCAACAAAATAAAACTGAGCAACTGCCAACAAAATGACACTGAAACGTTGTTAAGCAGGTGGTGAGTAGAGTAATCATAGAAAGTCCAATTCTTTGTCTCTTTCTGGTTTGAGCAGCACATATAGTTTTGAGCACACCAGATGATGTGAACAGAACAATTTGAACAAATACGACCTGCTATAATGGACCCAGAAATCAGCCCAAAGATAATCCAAAGTCCCAGTGAGAAAGAATAAGGAGTAATGCAGTCAAAATTAACCCAGAGACTGGGATGATATACATGAATCAATATATGACTGTTCACACATCGTATATTCTCTATCATCAGCCACATTCATGACAGTTCAAATAACCTTTGGATGTGGATATCTCACAGACAGTCTAACCAGGGGTTTATCATAAGAATGCTTTTATTTGTTCCATAATAAGGTGATTAAATACATAATATGAAAACATGTATATAGCCTACAGCTAGAACCAAATTAGAGGGACACTGAGGATTTCATGGGTCAGGATAATATTCAAAATTATTTTGATAAATTTTAGGATTGAAATGCAATTAATAAAGTAGCACAGTGTAAAGTAGAACTGTGAAAGACTGAAGCTGTTTGCACAAAATTAAGAGTAGTGGATAAGAAAGTGAGTAGGGGTTTAAATTACAATGTCAATACAAATCAAACTAACATCATTCTGGGACATATTAACAGAAGTGCAATATATGTTGGCTACTGGAAGTAGCAATGCCATTTTCAGTGTCAGGAGAGAAACCTCAGCTGGATAATTATACTGTTTGGGATGCCATAGTTGAATTAAGATGTAGACAAACTGGAAAGAGGCCAAAAGCAAGCACCAAGTATAAGTAGGTTGAAAAACCTGACCCATGAAGAGAGGTTGAAATGGTTTGTTTAGTCTAGAAAGTGGAAGATTGGTGGGAGACTGAACAGTCTGTAAATGTATAAAATGCCAGTAAGAACAGTGGGAAATTTCTTACGCAAATGCTAAGAGTTGTGCAAAAACATTGGGGGACTGAAACTGTAGGTGCAGATGTGAAATTCGGACTTAGCAAGACAGCATAAAATTAGAAGAATATCACTAGAACAAAAACAGAAATAATAACGCAATGCATATTCTCTTTTTTTTTTCTGGGTATTTTTTTTTTTGTTTGTATCAAAATAACTTGGAGAAGGATGGCAATAGATAGATGTTTATTGTGGTAGTACTAGCAGTATATAACAGACTTCTAGATTTGGTTAGCCCCAAATGTGGCCAGGGATTTCTATGTCTAACCAGAATTATGCTAGTATGGAGGATATTTTGTGTAAGGATTGGAGAATAAAACCAACAATTATTCATAGGACATTGGTATTCTGGAAAATGAAGATCAACACTCTTTTTTCATTAGATATTCAAGCGACTATAAATTAGTAACAATTTTAACATGATTAATAAGGATATTATAAAATACCTGGTCATAGAAAACAAGCCTGGATGGCATGATCATGAGTAGACTATAAATTAAACAGCTGAGTAAAAGCAATACATACAAGACAAAATTCCTTATTTCAGAGGGACACATTTTGGTAAATTATGGGACTGAGAATCACTGGGACCAGCAGATTCCAGGGACCTGGATTATATCCTCTCAATGGTGCAATATGTAGAGAACTCTGTGCCCCAGAAGCAGAGAAGAAAAATGTGTAGAAAAGGGTCGAGATATAACGGATGTCTTTCCATCTTTAAAAGACATATTTAGAATAAGCAGACACCTTACAAAATAATAAGCAGAAGTACAGAGAAGCAGAATTTGTGTCTCAAAATCAAGAAGTCAAGAGTGATAACTGAATGTTGAATAATGACTGAAAAGAAGTTACTTTCAGGAAAAAGACTCAGAATCAACCTTGGTTAATATTTTCATGATAACTTGGCACAAAATACAGACACTTTCTGATGAAATCTGGCAAAACAAAAAATTGGAAGACATTAACAGAAAGGAATTGGGATATCATGCAAGGGAAGATGGAATACCTTCAAATCTAGAGTAATACAAATGGGAAAAAATGCATACGATAAAAAATTTAAGGAAGGCATGCATTTGGGCACTAATAACAGAAGGTTCTCCCAGAAACTAGAAATTGTTTGGAAACAATTATGGAAGAGAAGTACTGAGTTGCAAAGAGTTATTCCAAAATTATTAGGAGCTTCTAATGGGACACAGCTGTGAATGAGGCAAATGCTGTTCTGTGACATACCAAAAGATGTATTTCTAACACAAATAGGGAAGAGCTAGTGTCACTGTACAAAGAGTTGGCAAAAATGTCTATCATAGAATCACAGAATGGTTTGGGTTGGAAAGGACCTTAAGATCATCTAGTTCCAATCCCCTGCCATGGGAACCCCTTCCACTAGACCATGTCACCCAAGGATCTGTCCAGCCTGGCCTTGAACACTGCCAGGGATGGAGCATTCACAACTTCCTTGGACAACCCATTCCAGTGCCTCACCACCCTCACTGTAAACTTCTGCCTTATATCCAACCTGAGCTTCCCTGTCCAAGCTCAAACCCATCACCCCTTATCCTATCGCGACAGTCCCTGATGAAGAGTCCTTCTCCAGCACACTTGTAGGCCCCCTTCAGATACTGGAAAGCTGCTATGAGGTCTCCACTGCTGTGCACAACTACATACAATTTTATTCACCCCTCTCCAAGGATACACAACTAAAACACAAAAGGAGAGGGGTTAGTAGGTTGATGAGAGAAATAGAAGTGCATTTTGCTAGGAAAATTTATAAGGCCTTGATTATTACAGCAACAAGAGAACTGCTCAGAAACAATACAAAGAATGTCTATAGATACATGTGAACAACACATACCAGGTAAAGAAGTACTTATTCTAAATAATTATGCTGGCACAGAACCAAAGGGACATAAATCAACCATGGGTATGTATATAAATTATAAATACTAATCATTAAAGCAAACAAGATCTTGAACTGACATCCTTTGGGAGTAATGGAGACAAAAAAGCCTAACTGCTTTTATTGGACACAGTAAGTTTATGAAAAGGATGATGTAACATAGCTGCAAGTGATTGCAGGGATTGCAGGGATTGAATTTGATGATCTAGTAAGACATCTCCAGCTGTGTGTTTCTCTGTTCTTATAAAAAGAATCATTAATTCTTTCTCTCTCTTGCCATCAAGTTAGGATATAAATGTTCAGTTTCATTTGCAGGTTAGAGAACAATGTCCACTTACTGTTAAGGCACTGGAGCATACTAGCTAAGAAAGTTTTCAAGAATCACTTGAGCAAATATTTGACATGGCTTTTCTAGGTGTAGTTGGACAGGCTTACAGAATTGGGTTGGTCTTTTGAGGTCCTTTCCAATTTCTATGAGAAAATATAGGCTTGTAGCTTTCTGGACCCTGGCTTACCAAAACAGCAAAAACCCAAAGTTATTTCTGAGAAAGTTGTTGAGTAATTTACACTCTGTAACTTTTGGAGATGTTTGCAGTGGTACATTATTTATTATTTTTCCAGTGTTCAAAGTGTTCTAGGAAATTCATAATGCAAACTCAGTTCCCAGCAGGAGATCGGAAGCTTCTGGCTTTCATACTTGGGGAGTCTGGTATACACAAAAGAAAATACCACTATTGTATTTAGCCTTTTTTAGCAGAGAAAATGCAGTTTGGTGTAAGCTCCATCGTAAAATGCTTTTCTTCTCTGAACTTCCTCCCAGAGTGGCAACAGGGTTCTGTGTTCCATCATTCTAGACCACTACCAGGGACCATCAATAATAAACTACGATGATGAGAATGGCAAAACATGTATGCACATTGCTGCTGCTTCAGGCTACAGTGATATTATTAGTGAGCTGGCTAAAGTCCCGGAGTGCAACCTGCAGGCCCTTGATGTGGATGAGAGGTAACCATGGAAACTCTGAAACTGAAATTGCTGCTTCCTTTCTATTAACCTGAGACTAGCTCTGTTTATTTTATAATGGTGTTTCCTGTTTCACAGGCCATGGTCTAGTGCACTAGACTAATGAACTGCACTTAGGGAGAACCGTGCTTGCTCAGAAGCAGTGCAGAGCAGTCCAGCTCACATGTATCATATCTAGTATAATAACTGACTAGTAGGAATGTTATTTAGCTTCGTGTTTCTGGTAGGAAATGATAAGATTATGTTTGAAAGGACTTTGTCACCACTTGACTTAACTTCTTTCAATCAAAAGTGAACATTCTTTCCAAAACAATAGAACAGGATCCTATAACTTGAAGCTGGGATCCTGCTGCTATTTGTATTTAAGAAATGGCAATGTTCTCTTGTTTCATTTAAGAATGAAACACATTCTTATGTGTTTCATAAGAATGTTAACACAATGTTCTTATAGGACGAAAGGAACTTCACTTTCCATTTTGATGGGGCCTTTGATTTCTTCTAGGATGACATCTCTATATCATAAGTGCAGAAGACTCATCTTCTTTCCTGTTTTTCAGCCCACACCTACCTCCCTTGGAACTTTGCTCTAAAATTTATTTAAAGCAAACAGAACCAACTGACTGTTCATATTGCCTATCCTGCTCAGTGAAGCAAAAGCCAAAGTTTTCTTGGCTTAAGCCTTCAGGTACTTAAAATAATAGCATTCTCCATGGAAAAGTGCAATAAAATGGAACAGAAATAAAACCAGTAGGGTTCTGGATAAGTTTCTAAACATCAGTAAAATGTAGTTGAGAAGACTGTGTTTCTACGGAAAAACAGTGAAGGGAGGAGTTTTAACTACAGTGAAGAACTCAGTAAGACATGACCTCCTATTACACATTCTCAGATATTTCCATAGAAGATATTATACTTGAAGAGAGGAAAAGATAAGCTGTTCACTATAAATACAGTAAATTTCCATTCTATTATGTTTCCAACTGCATCCATCTGAAATCACTGTGATTACAAAGAAACAGGCAGAGAAAAGTCAGATTTATTTTTTATTCTCGCAGTTTTCTTATGGTGTTTTCTGTGCTTCCAGATTTTTCATAAGAGCAAAGTATTACAATTACACAGATTCAAGACAATTATATCTGCTCCAGTTTGTGCCCATCAAAGAACACAGAAACTGACAAAGAGCCAGTAACAGCCTGGTAGATGTGTCTAGTCCTTCTCATTCACCGAGAGGAGGCTTCTTTTCCAATTACCTCCAGGAAGATATCTCAGCCAATCATTGCTAACTGTGTTTGGTGTAAAGATAAGAAGATCTTGTCCCTATGCAGTAGACACTATGAAGGTCTTTTTTTTTCTAATTCTGCTTTGAAAGCTTCAGGGACTCCTCCGACTCTGCAACTCCAGCAGTTGAAGAGATGCTATTATATAGGATGTATAGGCATTTTGCAGCCCCATATCTACTTTCTCTACAGCTAAATAGTTGTACATAGATAGAAGCCAGCCTGTGGGCTTATTACTACCACTGGGAACTACATCAACATGGGGTAAGTTAATGAAGAATTCCATAAAATTGATGTTGTGGATCTGGATAAGTAGCATAGGAGCACACCTCGTTATATCATCAGTAGTTTCAATAGTAAATTTATCCATCTATTTTAATGATACTCCTCCTTTCCTGTAGGACGCCTTTGCACTGGGCTGCAGCAGCAGGGAAAGCTGACTGTGTGCAGACACTGCTAGAGCTGGGGATAGAAAGCAACCCTCGAGACATCAATGAAAACACTCCTCTGACATACGCAATGTACTGTGGGCATACAGCATGCATCAATCTGCTGTCTCAGGAGAACAGGTAAAACAAAAGTTCACATCTTGCTCATATATTGCCACTGACTAGAAAGCAAATATACTGCTTTTTATTTGCTACTGCAGGTTGAGCCCTGGGTGATGTCTCCTTGATTCGTATTCAATACTCAGTTTAAGTTTGCTATCAAAGTAGCAAATTAGAATTAGTCATCTACTGAAAACTCATCACTGAGGTTACAGTGCCAGTCTGCCAATCAGCAGGGGGTTCTGAACCAAGATGTGGGCATAGAATCATAGAATCATAGGATACTTAGGGTTGGAAAGGTCTTGCTCAGTCACCTTCGTGGAAAAAATTTATCCTACGGGATAATATCAGCCCTCAGTATTATGCCTTCCACTTTTTTGAAATCTCTGTGCACTAGCTGTGTGTTGATATAATCTGACAGAAGAACAGACTGAATACAAAAGCAGCTTTGCCAGATAGATAATAAAATAAATTTCAAGTTTTCATCCTCAGAATAAGGGTGTGTCAGGAGTGTTTTCCTTATTCAGTTCTCTACCTTGTTTGTATTCTTGAATTCTTCTTATTCTGATTTTTTTTCCTGTTAAAAAGTATAATTGTTTTACCATTGCTTATGATCTTCCTCTCTCTTTTTAATTCTCATATTTCGGCAGCTGTCATTTAATTAATTTCAGCTCTTCAGCGCTGGTAAATGAGCATGCACTTACAAATACACTTATCATCACAGATCTTTGTGCTTCCCCCTCCTTTCCAGTCAGCAGTTAGTATTATTTCCTATGTTACAAATTGCGAGACATGGGTGACATTTCCCCTCCTCCTCCTGCACTCTGCCTGTCAGAGTACATCTGAAATGTTGGTTAGCAAAATCTAAAAACCACTACTGAAAACAATGCAGCAGCATCACTGTAGGTAATTATCTTTATAGATCTGAAACTATACTGGACCCCTTTAGTACAAGCAAGGCAAGGGAAAGGGGAAAGGGGAAAAGAAACAGAAAGGAGAAAAGGGAAACAGGAAAAGAAAAAGGAAAGGTAAAAGGAATGGGAAAGGGAAAAGGAAAGGGTAAGGGAAGGAGAAAGGAATGATCAACTATTGCCTTTGTTACAGTGTTAGCAATGACAATGCTATTGGAAATACTATTTTCCAAATATGACATAATACAAAGACCACTTGGTTTTAAAGATCCCAGCATGTTATTCGTGTTATTATTGGATCTTGCTCCACCATTAAGAATAATAATTCTGCAGCTGGTAAATGCTGAAGCCAGGAAAGTTTGTTTGGTTTTTTTTTCTGATAGCTGCACTGAGCCTCCATTAAGATGAGTGTAAGGCAATGTGAAGTAACACGGTATCATTTATAGTCTCTGTTAATTACAAACCTGCAGCCCTAATTTTCTGCCTCCTTGAATGGCTCCTGCAAATGTGTCTGAACAATATATATTCCATTTCATGGGCAAACACAGTATTTTTTTTATTACTTGACAATAATGACATCACACTTTTGATTTGTAATTCCAGTAGATCTGAGCCAGTTCGACAGTTTCCCTCCCAGAACAACAGACCCCCAAAGAAAGAAGGACGATTCAGTATACTGAACCACATCTTCTCTTTCAAAAAGAATAAAAATGACCAAAAAAGCAGTCAGAAGGAGAAAAGCAGAGACCGATATCCTAGAGAAGAGAGGTCAGACGTAGATGACATCATCACCACTTTTGATTGCATTATGGACACAAACTGCAAAGACAAGCGCATTACCACCATTGGCTTTAAAAGAAGAAGCACAGACACTAAGTATCTCGTACCAGAAAAGAAGCAGCCAGAGTGTGAGGGACTTCTGCCCATTAGAACCCAGACTCTTCCTCCAATCACTGTGGGCAATTCCTTCCTAACTGCTTCCCGGAGCACATCAACCTTCTCGTCCAGCACCAGCACCCGCTATATTGCACACAAGTCTTTAAAGAGACAGAATGAACACAACTTGCTGGGCCCCAGAAGCAGCTGCCAGGCTTTGTTGGATGCTCCCTGGAACACAGACTCTAACCGGCTACTCTCCGACAAAGCCTGCACTAGGACTCCTTCAGACAAACTGATAAATGGCTTAAACTCTGATAGATCTCACCGTGTGCGTGTGTGCCCTTCCCATCTTCCCTCACTTCCCAGTTCTCCATCCGGTAATTTCTTTTCTATCTTCCAAATCCTATAATACCTACTGATGTAGCAAGTTAAGTCAGAAAAAATAAGTAAGTCTGACCCATGACATTTCTATTTCTTTAATATCTTTTGCAGTTTCTTCTCCCTGTAGCAATTGCAGATAGCATATGTACAGAACAGCATCTGACAGCTTAAGCAAGGTGCTTAGGGGTGGGAAATAAGAGATTTAAGTAGGTCTGATGAGGAAATAAAAATACAGGTAGTTAGGAAGCATAGAATGTACCTGAGCAAGGTAAGTGCCTTCAGATTATATATGTGTTTTGTGAATTGCATGTTAACACTCACAGCCATACCTGCTGTGTTGTGTCCACATTTAGTCCTGTAACTAGATGTGCAAGGGAATAGTGTTGCACCCAAATCTCCAACTGTGTTGAGAGCTGCTTCTGGATCCAACCAGGGAAGTCCATGTGTGCCATGCTGGACAGCTCTGCACCATGGCACTTTCAGACTATAGTGTCACCCCTTCCCACCCTTCCCACCCCAAATGCCAGCATTTTTGTCTAAGGTGCTGCTCTTACCTTTTTTCCAAAGCTGATTTCAGGTTGCTAAATTTACAGAGACAGAGTAAATGCTTTTATGATGTGGTTTGGAAACTGTAATGCAACAATTATGAAGCAGAGCATCAGAATTCTGAAGTAAACTTAAAACCAGGGTTTGACTGGATTTGGGATATCTAGTACTTTGTTTGACTCATATCCATGATTAAATTAATCTGGCTCGCTGGCCTGCATGCTGGAGTTTACCTCAACGTATCAGTGTCTCCAATTTCATCTCCTTTGGGATTAGTCCCATGCCAAAATTAAACACATCTAGCATGCTTTCCAGCCACTGTAATATCCAACAGAAAACGAAGCAAGCAAAAGCAATCCCCAAACTTACCAGTACACCATTACAAGAAGTAAACATTACACAATAAGTTAATCTACCCTCACCCCAACAAACATGAGCTGCTATCTTCTGGAGGAAAAATGAATGAACAGAAACCCTCTCTGAAAAGAACACTCTCAGAGGTCAGGTCACTATCTAAACTTGGATGACAGTGCAAACTGTGCTGACTTCTAAGTGAAAGGATCTATAAAATAGCAAATCTTTCTTCACATCTCTAATAATGAGAGTAGAGGTGGCAATTTCAGAATGTCTGGTCATTCTATGTTGTGCAAATAAAGGCTGGAAATTTTACCCTGTTTTTCGGGGTAAAAAGTAGCTACTCAAGAAGTTTCACTTCCTGAATATCAGGCCACATTCCTGAAAACTTGATAGGCCTGATCTGTAAGTGTTATTACTTTTTTACTATGCAATCTTCAGCTATTCATTCAACCGTAAAAACACCAAACTCCACATGGCTACAAGGATTGCTCCAGCATGACTCTTTCTACACTGAACTCTTCAAGGTTCAGCTCACATATGGAAGACAAGAAAATCTGCAGGTCTTCTTTACAACCCAAATATAATAGGGTACACAGAGGCTGAGATATTTGAGGGCTGTTGATAACAGAGGAGGAATGAATTCAAACTGGAAAAACCAAAGCCGGGGATAACTTTAGGGAAACATTTCTTGATGGGATTAGCTAGACCATGAATGTATTTGGTGTGGAAGTAACGACCATGTTACTTAAAATGTGACTACACATTTTCTTAGGACTGTAGAATACTGTATGGTTAAATCCTTTTTTGCTATGGACAGAAGGACAGGCAGTTTTCTGTGAACATCCTATGATAAAAAGTTGCAGCCAGCTGAACCAGGACAGACCCTGTGCATCCACTCAGTGCTCCATTACCTGCACAGAGATTAAGTATAGCACCCACAATCTACATGCATGAATAAGGGGAAAATCACACCAATTGTGGGAAATCTTCTAATTGTTACAATGGAAGCAGTCTTCACGTGCCCAAAGGAAGAGTAAGTCTTTTTATCTCTAACCGTTTATTATCTCCTCCAGAGAAAATAAAGCCTGAGTGTGTTTTAAGCCCAGCTCTCTGTGTATCAGCTCCCTTTTACAAAACTTTCCAACAATAAAAAGATTCCTGTAGCTGGAAAAAAAGACTTCCACTGAAGTATATGAATTAAAGGCTTTTAAGGAGACAGAGAGTGTCTGACAGGAATACATTGTACAACTCATGCTGTATAGCATTTCTTCATCATAAAAAGATCTGCTTATCCTCCTTTATGCCTGTGTGTGTGATTTAAACCTGTCTGCCCCTGTAATTAGAGCCACCTAACTTGCTGTGAATTAGAGCTGCATTTACTGTATGAGCTCCAGGTCTTCAGTGCACTGTGTCTGCAAGACTCAGAAGGATCAGAAGTAAAGTAAGCCTGGCTCCAGCCCAGCCAGCAGTGCTGTGCAGGCAGCTGCCTCTGAGGGAAGATATTTCCTCATTGGTTTTTTTTTCTGCAGAAGGCCTAGCTGAGGGAAAAAAACATCATCTGGACTCTGAAGGACACTGAACTGTTAGTACTGCATTTCTCAAGTCAGGACTGTGGGGACTAACTCCCCAATCACTGAATATCCAGGGCAAGATTATGGGCATCAATAATCCAGGTGAACTCAATTTTAAAATTATTTTCTCAGCTAACACCTAGAATTGATTTTCTTGCATGAACTTTTATTAAAGTCAGAGCTGAGTAAGCTACTAAGGCATCTGGCACATAGACTGGGATTTTTGGAGGTATTTTGTTCTCGTTTCTGTGCTCCTGGAAATGAAAGATGAGTCAATTTACTAGCTGAGCCTTTGCATTTACACAACGGGGAGAGGTTGCTGTGGGTAGCAAAGAGACTTACCTTACAATCATGGCACTGGTTTCTCTCAGAATAACTACTTCGTCTTGCCCTCCACTGGGAAGAGCAGAGACAGACTATATCAAAACCTACTGTCAATATTGCAAGAGTGTTTGCCAGCCGCAGTGCTGAGCTGGCATCCACAATCCAAAATGTTTTGTATTTATGAGCTTTGCAATCATTTCTTTTTGCAAAATGTACTGCCATGTACTTTCCACAGGGAAAATGGTGCAACTAGAGAAATTCCAAGTGATATGCGTAAAAGGAAACCTGTTTCAAATGTAAGGCAGTTGTTAGCACCTCCTAACCAGCTGGAGCATTTTCTTTCTTTCATTCATCTTTTAGATTACTAACCTTCACTAAAGGTAGTACTTTATTATGGGTTTTATTACAGCAGCCCAGTACCTTCTGTTTGCTTGAACAGGTAATGTAAAACATAGGCTATTATTAAGCTTATGTTGGCGTAATCAATATGGTATAGTCCAACAGGAAGCACTTCTTTGCCAGGAAAAATAGAGCAAAGATCATCAGTGTAGCTGTTTCTTTCTCAAACTGAAGGGATAATGGTTTTGAACTTAAACAGGAGAAGTTTACATTAGATACAAGGAAGAAGTTCTTTACAGCGAGGGTGGTGAGGCACTGGAATGGGTTGCCCAAGGAAGTTGTGAATGCTCCAACCCTGGCAGTGTTCAAGGCCAGGTTGGACAGATCCTTGGGCGACATGGTTTAGCGCGAGGTGTCCCTGTTCATGGCAGAGGGGTTGGAACTAGATGATCTTAAGGTCCTTTCCAACCCAAACCATTCTATGATTCTATGATTCTATGATTGATTTACAGTGGGACATTTATCATAACACTTACAACTTTTCCACAAAACACACCACAATGTGGTTCATCTAACTAAATGCAAAGGAAGAACAAAGAACAACCTGTAAAAAATGTTGGTAAACAAAATGAAATACAGAGCAGCCCTGCATTCTATAACAATAAAATTGTCTCCATTTTCCATTTCACTAAAATATAAATGTCATCATAAATATGCTTTTGGGTATGATAAAGATGATATATTAAAGAAAGAAAAACTTTTTCTCTGATGTTATGTGGAGCAGATAGAAAGGAAGAGTACAAGAATACTTTCCCTTGATGACAGAACTTTTAGACACAAAGATTCTTTTCCAAACATTCGTATCAGCCTTGCAAACATGATTATGCTTTGTACTGTTGTTTTGCAGCCAGATATCCCCATTTATGAAATAAACATATCTCTTGATAGAAAGAATCTCCCATAATCAAGGCCATAATGGTACATACATAAACCATTAGTTCTCAGCATAAGCATCATTGAAACCAATATAATTCAAATTGCACTAATGGGAGCATCAGGCTTTATACTCTGCTGTTTCGGAATTGATGTATTTATTTCTTTGTGCACAGTAGATGCAATGTCTATAGAATAAATTTCCCAACTTTTATATCCATTTTTTGATCACCCTGGAGAAGTGTTAAAGACTAAATAAAGAGTAAAATATGGGAAAAGAAAACCAAAGTCTGTTTATAATAGACACAGCTCATCCATAAGAAATTCTTCAAGTTGTAGCCCAATATACATCAGCTTTACCCATGGGATCCAGTAGATTGATCCAATGTCTATCAACTGCTGTGGTCTCTGGACCAGAATTTTGCTCCATGTTCAGCTGAAGACTGCACTATAACATGCAGGTTTGTCCAATAAAGACCACATTAGCTCCTTTCGTACAGAATCCATTTGGTCAGTAACATGGTTACAGCAGTCTTGACAATTACTTCAGTGCACCTCTAGGAAACTGTTCTACAACTATTTTCCTATAGCTTTATCTTGCACAAGCCAGCAATACACATATATTTTCAAGTAACTACAAAGCCACAAAGGCAGTTTATGTAATTCAATTTTTTTACTATTGCCTAAGATGTCCTACTACATCCAGTCTATGTCTCCCTATGCCAACAGAGCATATGCTTGCTCTGCAGTAAGCTATGTTGCAATGCCATACTGGATGAGCAGCTGTTTGGCAAGACAACTCAAGACTCCTTACACAGCTCATCTCAGATCTGGGGATAACCAAAAAGAAAAATCTGGGGACTTAAACATCACCAATAAGAGTGACTCAGGAAGATGGTCTGGTGAAAATGTTGATTTAGTGCTTGAATTTCCTCTTTATTTGGTGTGTCATTTATGTAGCAAAATGCATTACATCATCTATAGTATTTTCTTTTTTAACAGTACTAGAACCAAGTTAATTTTAATCTTAGCCAGTGACATGCCACAGATAGCCAATTAACCTTTCATTTTCCAGTATCTGTTCTTGGAAAAATGTAATTGCCATTAACATAGCTTAATAAGAATCAGTAGCAGCTTATATCAGTTCTGCTATGTTTTCATCTGTGGTAAAACCCTCTCAGAGCTCATGATCTTGAGACCCTATTAGAAAAGTTTGCAAAGGAAAGCTTTGATTCTGAAATCAAATCCATTTAGTTGAATATTTCTACACATTTAGTGCCTAAGTATTCTTACATGGACCTAGCTACTGGACTGTGCCTGTTTTAAAACCAATTATTATATTATATGAGAGGAAGTGATAAAGGTGCAAATGAAGATTATATTAAATCAGTCAGTCTTTTAAATGACTGTAGAGAGGAAAAAAAAAAATCTTTCTTCCATCAGTGGTTTCTTGTTATGACATATGTCTGCGAATTACTAAGTTTGGGCTCTTTTCTAAAAGCCAGAGATCTACAGTGCGTCATATTATTAACAATTATTTTCATATAGTAACAGATTATTTTTTCTTTCACAGGTAAAAATTTTCAAAAGATGTCCACAGACCAACCCAAAATAAAAAATAACACTCCTGTACAGAACAGCCTAGCTCCCATACCCAACTGCTGTGCTCACAAAAGTAAGTACAGTCAAGTCTCAGTTACAGTATCATATTGTGTGCCTCCAACACTGGCATCTGAGAGTCTGAGAGAGGTTTCACGTTCCTTTTTTCACAGCATCATAGAATGGCTGAGGTTAGAAAGCACCTTTGGAGATTGTCTAGTCCAACCTCCATGTCCATAGAGAAGTCGCCTACAGCAGGTTGCTCAGGGTCACATCCAGCTATGTTTTAAATAACTCTAATGATGGGGGCTACACAACTTTTCTGGAAAACCCATTCCAGTATTTGACCACCTTCAGAGCAAAAATGCTTCTTCTTAGTTATTTGCCCATTGGCTCCTTTCCCTTCATAAGATACTACTGAGAAGAGTCTGGCTCCCTCTTCTCAAGGCTGGACAGTCCCAGCTCTTTCAGTCACCCCCTTGAGATTGGACACTCCAATGTCTTAGTCATCTCCATCACCCTTTGTTGGACTGCTGCTCCAGTATGTCCATGTCTCTCCTGTACTGGGGGTCCCAGAACTGGACACACCACTCCAGATGTGTCTTATCAGTGCTGAGCAGAGGGGAAGGATCACCTGCCACAATCTGCTGGCAACGCTCTTCTTAATGGATACTGTTGGCTGTCTTTGCCGCATGGCCACATTGCTGGCTTGTGTTCAGCTTATTGTCTATCAGGACTCACAGGTCCCTTTCTGACAAGCTCCTTTATAGGTGTTTGATCTTGGTGTAGCATATATTGGTGTAGGGACCTACACCTCCCCAGGTGCAGGACTATACATTCCCCTTTGTACGAGTCTTGTCCACCCATTTCTCCAGCCTATGAAGACCACTCCTCCCAGTTTCATATCGTTTTCAAATTTGCAGGAAGTGCACTCTGCCCCATCATCCAAGTCACTAATGAGAGCATTAAACACTATTAGCCCCGTTATCAGCTCCTGGGGTATTCCACTAGTGACTGGCCCACCTCCAGGTTGTGCTGCTGATCACAATCCTTTTCTCCAGTAAATTTCATAGATCTGGGCTAATAGAAGCAATGTACATTAATACAGATGAGAATATGAATATGTTTTCCAGAGCAGAGGTGATTGGAATTCTCAGAGACAGGATTTTTTGCTCTTGGTTTCACTGTCGATTGCATATATCTGTATGACTCCGGAAGCTTTTCACAGGGGGCAGGACATGATATAACATGGTGACTTACTGGATATAAAGAGATGGATGACAACACCCTAATGACTGCGCGGGAAAGAGAGGTCAGATATGTGAGATGAAAGCCACGATAAGTAAAGACTCTTCTGTAGACAAAATGAAAAATATCATGACACAGATTTTTGTGTCCTTTTGCTAGTAAAAAATAGAGGGAAGAGGACTAGAACAAGAAACAGTTATTTTCTGAATGTTACATAGGTGAAAAGATGGTCTATCTCTCCCTGTCTTAAGTGCAGCCAATAAACTAGCTTTTACATGAGGATGGGAATAATTCATTTCTCTCATTCTAACAGCAGATGGTCTGGGTAGCTTCTATAACACAGGAACAAATACTAAGCCACCAAGAAAGCAGCAGCCTTTTATTCCTCTGTGCTTTCAGCCAGCTCCTCATTCCCAAGGCAGTAAGAAGCAGGGTCCCAAAGAGCATGGAAAGCTTCACCCTGCTCCCACAGCCCCGGCAGAGTGTCAAGAATTAGTGAGTGTCCCAGGCTGGATTCAGCCAGCAACTGGGGTGTTCTTCACATACAAACTCTAGCCCTACTCCCAGCAGTGTCCTGCCCTCACATTCTTGTGCTCCACAAGGCACAAAGCCCCCAGTGTAGTTTGGATGAGGATTTCCAGTTTACTATCTGTCATCCTACAAATCAGCCAGGTCCTAAAACATTCACATTTCAGAGTTAAATTTAGGATTCATTGCCTCTTATGAGTTTCAGAAGCATTTCTGCAGTTACAACAATATTACTAAAAATGAAACAGCAGAGGTAGATAGCTTTATAGGGAACATCAGGCTGGGCAGGGGAAATACAGAAGCCTGCACTGCTGCTGCACAGTAAGATAGGAAGAAGAAAGTAGATATGTGTGGAATACTAAGGTGGTATTCTCTGTCTGTTCAGAGGAGAGAAAATAATCTAACTGCTTTCAAAACCCCAGTTCTAAGACTCCTATTTTTAATCTTTCTACTAATGTTCTCTGTGTTTTCTAGTCAAAACATAGTTGTAAGCAAAATACTAAAAAAAAATTATTTCATAATCACAGGTGTTCTTGCAGTAAATCATACAAACAGACAGGATTTTAGTTCTAGTCTTATGCAAAAAACCTGTGTTTTACAAGTAAGATTTAATTATCACAGTTAATAATCACGGTTTAATTGACTAACACAGCACAAATGCCCAGGTGCCTATTACTGCTTGAACATCAATAAGATGTTCAATAAGAGAAAAGAAAAAAAATAGAGAAAGTTATTTGCAAAATAGATTACATTTCCTCTTTGTTAACACAAATGACACATTTGACCTTAGAGTTTTCCAAATATCTGTTTCAGAGCCAAGATTTCACTCATCCTCCATCCAGCCATAAAAATATTACTGTTCTGGACACAGCCTTTCTCCAGGCAAATGGCTCCAGCAATAAAGTTTGAATATAAACATTTTTCTAATACTTTTTTTACACAAGATGTGTGTTAAAAGTATGTAATAAAGCCAGTGGAAAACAAAAGCAACCAGGGAGTTAGAACAATAACATAAGCACAAATTAGAAAGAGAATTGAAACTGCTCAGAGGTTAACAGAAAGCAGAAACATCTCCCAAAAAAGGAAGGGCAATGAAAAAAAAGGAAGAGATATTTAAAGCAAAAACATTTCAAAATACAAGTTAGAACGAGGATAACAGGAATTAAACAGTAGCCTAGGAAAAGAGTATTTGAGTGACTCTAAACCACAATTTATAAACTCCCACCCTCCAGACATTCCCAGGGCCAAAATGGTACCTCAATGGCTTCTTGAGTAGCCTCAGCACAGCCTGGCATCTCTGTTACTCTGCATGCTGCTGCTCCATCCCCACACACCCTTTCTATCTCACCACATGACTCCCCCAAGGACCCCTGGAAGACAGGGTTACAACTATCACACACTGCTCACACAATGCCAGAATCATTTTCCAAACAAATATGGGACTTCCAGAGAACTCTCTGCTGCTCTCACTTCTTCATGTAGCTTAGAATGTCTGAAGCCATAATGAGGATATTCTTTGTTGAATAAAAAAAAAAATCTATTTCTGCGGGTCATTTAACAATATTTCGGGTTCATCAGTGGTTGGTTTTCCTGTTATTCATGATGATTCTTCTTTCCCAAGTTAAAAGCAATGGATTCCACAAAGCACCGTCCTCTCTGCAGAGGGTCTACCATGGCCTACCATGGTCCACTGCTTCCAAAAGTAAGAGAGTCTGAGAACCATTCCTTCTGCTAAAGTACATGCTCCTTGAGCAATGCCTCCCTGACAGCCTTATTATTGCCTCTGCAGTTTGTAATAGCAGCTACTCAAGAGTCACTACTGAGTGGAAAAAGTTCCCTGAATTAGTAGCTCTTATTGTATCGCTAGGTCTTTGGTGGTTAGTTCTGCCCTCTGTGAATAATTGCTGGTGCTTTTGCTGTATATAACTTCTGGATGCATGGTAACCAGCCTTAAGGGCTCTGTCTCTCAAAGACCCCAGTGCTGGGTCCAGTCTCCTGTGTTTTAATACATATACTAAAACTAGTCACTATATGCACTATTTCAAAGCCATCCATGTACCAGTCCTGATATCCTCATAGAATATCCTAAACTGAGTACAGTATGTGAGACCAGGTAGAAAGCCTTGATATATGGATGCTGGTTTTTACTTCTTTGAATGAGCATGGGTTTGCAATGGCTACCCAGTCACGGGATTAAAGCTAAACTACCCTACGTTTGTCCTACTTAAACACATTGTTAAAGGTTTACCTAGTACAGAAAGTGTTCTGGAGATACTTTACACAGGTGTAAACTTTGAATCCATGAACATGTATTCCTGTGGTCCAAAGAGGGAAACAAGTGAGCTTCTCCATAGGCATTTGGTTTACACACCAAAATTTCAATGAACTCAAAACATTCTGTCATGTGCCAGAAAACAAATGGACTCATTTATTGTATTTAGCCCTGCCTGATTCACAGAATTTCAATACAAAATAAAGCAAAGTATTAATGGAGGGGGGGGAGGGGTGTTGTTGTCTTTTTGTTGTTTCATTGTTGGGTTTTTTTCATAGAAAAGAGAACTAAGTGATTTCCTGAAATTCTGAACATGAATGAACCTCGAATATAGTCCATGAATTACATTACATTGCCAAAGCTTTAGTAAACACTGCCTGCTCAGGCCATCAGAACTTGAATTGTGCTGAAATTAGCATGAAAAGGGAAAAAAAAAAACCTACCTTATTTTTTATGAAAATTTGTGAAAAAGTTAATAATCCTTCCTTGTTAAAACTGCGTAATTTCTCACTTCTCCCGCATCCACTCCACCAGTATCCCAGTTATTCTTTTTGATTTTGCTTGATGAGCAGTGAGAAGGCAGACTTCATAGGTTCAAAGATCCACTTCTGAAAAACATCAACTGTAGGCAGGATTTCAGGTATTAAGGATTTTTTAAGGTAAGTTAACCAACTTGAAATTCCTTATGTCTTCTTTTCTTGACCTTTAATTCTACAGCCCTCAATAAACTCCATTCACTATTCTACTTATGAGACCAATGAGTGTACTAAATGTCTAGTTTGGTTTGGGGATTTTTTTTTAAGCTCAAAATTAACCTGTAAGGTCCAGCTTATCAGAGGTGCATTGACTGCAGTAGTTACTCCATCTGTTATTCCTAATAAAAATTAGTTCATTTATCAGTTTACCCTCTATTAAAATGGTCCAAATATAGGTTAACTTCTGGAATTACACAGGATTTTAGTTGGGTTCAGAAAGAATGATCTTCCTGAGCCCTCATTTCTGTAGAGTTTCCTTGAACCTGCACCAGGAAAATTTCTGACAGAGACCATGAAATCGGAATAATAAAAGGAGCTGCCAGGAAAAATGCAAACAAGAACATTCAGGTTTACACTGGAGTTGATTAGGAAATGGAATGATAATGACAGACTGAGATGATCACCTTTTGAACAGAATGCTTTACAGCAGGACTCTTCCTGAATATAAAGGACCAGGACACAAGCATGATACCTATCTGAGGACAAGTGGTCAGGTCAGAGAATGGTTTTTAATGACCACCAGGAAACATTTGTAGTTAGTTTCAAATGATGAAGCCAGCAAAATAGACAGAGAATCCAAATAACCTTCTGGAGGCTGCCATGACTAGTAAGATGAAATTCAAACTAGAATATCTCTGAGTGAAAATTAAAAGCTTCTCATGTATTTATCACAACAGATGCAGATGGAAGGAAATCACAGCTGGAATGAGAATGCAACCAAGGAAAAATTAATGTGAAAAGTTTCAAGGAAGATTCTGTGGTGTTAGCTCCAGTAGGGAACTCTTCATATAGTTAAACTGAAAGCCCCAAACTGTTTGTATACAAAAACCTTGTGAATAAAATGGAGAATTAAATTAAAAGAAGCTAATGCAATTCACAATAAATTCCAAGGCAGAGAAAAGCAGGTTTACAATTAAGGTTTTGAACTCTGCTTTTAAAAAAACACAGGAAATTAGTTAGTGAGTTGCCTGAACAAAGGAAGTTGATGATTTCAATTCAGAGAAGACTCAGAACTATATTAAATTTAAAGCACAGCGTTACACTGCTGAGTGTGAGGTGGAGATCAAGGATGATCTAAACCTACAGTTTCTTAAAAGACTTCTGACACATATGAGACATGCAACAGCTGTGGTTCTTGTGTTTCAGTGTGGGTTTTAGTGCGCTTCAGGGTAATGGTCTAGTTTTGTGGCCTGTCACTTGCAGAACACGTGTGGATCAATCTTCATGGTTGACTGTGCCTAGAGCAACCTAGACAGTGCCCCATGTTCTTCCATTTCATCTTCCCAAGAATTTACCCTGGGTAACAGAGCGTCCTTCCACACAGGTTTTGTTAAAAAAATGTATTTCCATGGAACATTTCTGTTTCTGTCAGCCTGTGGTTTTTGATGAAAAAAAAATTCTTGTGTAAATCTGTTCAAACAGATTGAGTCTCCTTCAGACAAACTATAGATTCTCTGCTTATCAAAAGTAAACCTTTGAACTTACCAAGTCTTATTGATCACCAAACACGAAGTAAATCGCTTAGGTTTACTGGAACACTGGAATTGTTTTCTTCAGTTAAAGATTAGCTCTGTCAGGCTTTAGAGATTTTTTAAATCCTATTTTGATCACGTTTTTCAGATGCAGGTTTGAGTGCACACAGGACAAACAATTCAAATAATGTAGCAAATTCATTTGTAAAAATGTCATGCTTTTCACTGCCATGCTGTTCACATTCTGTCCACTCTTTCTCTCCTTTTCTTTTTCCTCTAGTTCAGCTGCCATCTCAGGGTGCTAAGAAGTTTAAGTCCCTGCCTTTAAATTCCCCAAGGACTGGTGCAGTTATTCTCCCACCAGCCTCAACCTCCAGATCCCAGAAAAGGGGGCATTCTCAGAGTCATTTGCTCTATCCCATCTTGCCTGGTCTTTCAGGAGAGCCTCTGAAACCAAGCTGTGTCCTACCTGCTATCCCAAGCCAGAAGAGATCTAACCCTGCAGAAGAGCTTCAGAATTCTCTCACCAAACCAGATGCTTAAAATTAACTCATTACACTGGCTTCAATCAGTTGAAATACATCTAAGAGCTTGCTACAAGATAACCATATAGTAAAATACCATTAACTTGCAGTAATGATGCTCTTGTGAACTAGAGTGTAAATGAACAAAACCCAAGAAAGGGTAGCACATCACAAAAGCTGCACTGTGTATTTATATAGGCATTTTCATTGTAGTTTTCATTTACGAAAATTACTAAATATTTAGTGTGCTGTAAATCTATTTTGTGAATGGAATACTCATAACATGCAATCTTGTTGCAGCAATGTGCTTTTAAGTCTTTCATAGAAAACAGGATCAAAGAGTAAGATTTTCTGCATGACTTAAAAGTCAGAAGTAGGGAAACAATCTGACAGGGGTTCTCTGTAGTTTGTAAATGCAAAGCTGCTGATTCTGAGCCTGTGTGCCATCAAAAATATCTTTTTAAAATTATAAGCTCAAAATAAAATGCAGTCTTAGAAAATAAGGGATTTTGGCTGTTTGGTTTTTGTATATTTTCTATATTGTAAGCTTGTAGGTTTTGAGAATTCAACAAGCTAAGTAAGTACAATGAAATGCTAATCCCTTTGGGACAGACAGGGCTATAGCACACCCGTCATTGCACTGACAGATTTACATCTTTTTCATTTAATTCTTCATATTCCTCAGTGACAAAAATGCAATTATGCTTTGTTATTTTCCTAAAATAAGGATTTCACAGTCGTGAGTTATGTGGCATTATTTCATCCCTTTGATCACCAAACTGAAGAAGAATATCTGTATCTAGACTGCTGTTCATTCAAGAGCCTTGGTGAGTGCTATAAGCCTTTGACCAAATATTTCACAAGACTGCCCTTTCCTAGAGGCCGACAAAGACGCCAGCCTGTACTTGTTTCAGGATTCTTACCTAAATCTTGCTGCTGTTGCTCTGGAGACTTCCCCACTTCTGATTACATAGGGGCTGTGGGCATTACTGTGGGTGGGGGGAAAGGGAGTATAGTCCCCTTTTGTAACACCTTCTATAACCCCATTTCTAGCAATCCTGTCCTACATTACGTCTCCATCAGCAGCTCTTTCAACCAAGATACAACATTTCTGCTTATCTCTAGATAATTCTTTATTAGCAGTACAAACATTTGTTTTGCCATGTCACAGTAAAAGACAAACCTGACGTGAAAGAGAAGATAATCATGTTGCAGTAGCTGAAGTTTCCAATCTCCTTGTGGTAATGACTGTAAATAGAAGGATGTAGAGTGGCTGTTACAGACAGCCCCAGAAAGAAAAAAGCAGAGCACAACAACAGCTGCTCTGATGCAACACAGGGAAGAGGGAACTTTTGCACACAAATAAAAGGATATCTTATTTTTAAACATCTAATCCAAATGTAAGGCTATAAAGCCGAAATACAACAAGTGATGTAATCCTCTAGCTTCTTGCTGAAATCCATGAGAGTAAAAAGCTCACTCATGTGCTTCGGCCTGTAGGCAATGTAGTCCCTAAGGCTAGATGGAAGAAATATTGCGTGAAAGGAGCATTCTCTACTAAAGAAAAATCCATTCTGGCATGCTGTGTTTGTACCTGACCAGACCTGCTCAGTCTAGTCTCACTGGAAAGTCCAGTCTCTCCTACAGTATAGCAGACTGGTATTTGTTCCACAGGTCCCTGAGCATTCCAGAGCCTCTGAGCTTCTCTGGAACTTCACCACTTGCACCCCCCACATTCTCTAATCTGTCTCCAGCCCTTTTGTACCTCTCTCTCCCTGTGGCCACACAAGAGGCAAGTGGTTCATAAGTCAGTTCCTAGAAACGTTCAAAATTCAGTGCAGGCCTTAAGCCACTATAAAACAATGTAGAGCAGACAGTTCTGGTGCAGACTGCAGAGAGAAGAAAGAAAAACTAATTCATACATCTCTGGCTGGCAGCAGATAAATCTCTATGTTAACCCTAAGTGTCAGTGTAGACATGACGAGAACGAGGTTTACCTTCACAGAATGAGAGCCCACAGTATCCGCTCTGGCAGACATTATTTATCTTTAGTTTAACACACTCTTGGGAATGGATTCAGTGTGTGGAAGGAAGAGAAGGCCAAAAGGCACAGCAAGAAAATCCCAGTGAGGTCAAATGTTGTATCTCCATTGCCAGTCTAGCCCTTTTGAGTGGGTAAGAAAATGGAGCTTTTTGCTATTAACTGGAATGCTTCAAAAGAGGCAGGCCACATGCTGCAACTCCATTTTTTCCTGCGTAGAAGGGGATCCTCATTGCTTTGACTGGCTTTGAGAGAGGGGGTGAATCTCTCATCTCCTGTGTTACCCTCCTGGTCCAGAGATGAGGATAGTCGAGGGCTGCCTAATAACAATCATGTAAAAGCTGTGGTGGCACCCATTTGTTTGCCAGCTGCGGTTCCATGCTGGAGACAAAGATACAGGAGCAGTCTGTGTTGGCTTTCCACAGAGGCTTGAACAGATTTCAAATGTTTCCAGTATTACAGTAAGAGAGAAAGGGAGACACATTCCCCCACGCCTTAGGCTAGACACTTCCATTCCCAGAAAGGAAGTAATCAGCTTTCTGGTTTTCCTATTCAGCAGTGCTTTGTTAATGCAGCATGGGTGGATGAAGCAAAATAATGAAAAAATTTTATCAAAGATAACACTGTCTTTCAAATAAAATTCCTTTAGAAATGCAGATTTTCAGGTGCAGCCATCTGAAGTTAGAAACACATTACCACTGCCACCTCTCTATACAATCAGTTTGCATGACAGAAGACATCTACTAACTGATTTTTTCCTATCATTTTCCTCTTATTTCCTCATCTTTTTCAAGGGAGGAATGCTGGAGTTTTTTCCTGGGTCTCCAATCAATGAAATAGATTCCTTTTTCAAAGGAAATCATAGATACAGCACTTACCTTAACAGAAACAGTCTTAAATGGATGGTAATCTGAACTAAGATCCAGGTCACTTTTCTATTGTGTTTCTTCTGCACACTGTCAATAAAGAAGTAGTTCACAATTTACCAAATACAGATATTTTAAAAATTAATGTTCACAGAAAGCAATAAAAATTATTCTCAGAAATGTCTCACCAAGAACTATTCTTATCTTTGGTATTTGATAGCAGATGTCCACAGTAAATAAACAAGTCAAATTAAATTGAAGTCTTTCACCTTCAGAGAAGAGTAGACTGTTGACTGCAGCATACCGCATGAAAGATACAAATGAACCAATACCTACTTAAGCTACACTGACCTCTTGTTCAGATCTTTCCTGGAAGATAATGGCAGGAGAGACAATAAAAGGCTAACACAGTTGATTAGCAATTGCCAAGAAATGTCTGGTCAGTAGGTCATGACAGAGACTTTTTTTCCTCTGTCTAGTGATTAAATATCTCTGGCATATTCTTCTGTGGCACTAGTTGAGTGTTAACTCCTAAAGTGTTGCAGTACTCGGCTGTCAGGAGAGTTTGGCTTGGCACAGAGAGCTAAGAAAATATATGTACATACAGGATACACTTTCTGACCAAAACACAATATACTTCCTCACTGGAACACACTTTACATTCCATCATTCTTATGAAGAGAATTTAAAAATGCTCTTAAAAATGGTGCAGTCTTTATTCCAGTGGGTCATTTAATTATACATAGATACTGAAGGGAGTGAGTGGTCCACTTTTCCAGTAAACTATGCCAGGAGGTTAGCATTACTCATTTAAAACAGAGAAAAATGGAAACATATGTAAAACAAAGGATCATCCAGTACTATGGGGATCTTTCAAAGGTTATTCTATTGATGAGCAGTGTCTGATATGCTGGTTAATTTTCTGATACAAACACCTAAAGAGGAAGCTATATCCTCTAAGATTCAGTCCTAGCAAAGCATTTTAAATACCCCTGCCACTGTTGAAGGTGGAGATTTCTGTCTCTTCATTCCAAACAAGCATCACCAAGAAAAAGTCTACACAATCTATATGCTTTTCCACTGCAGAACATAAGAAGCATCATAGTTAACACTCAGAGATATAAAAGCACAGCAACTTTCAAAACAATTCTAACAGGGTTGTAAGAGCTCACCTCTCACATCAATGCACTAAGAAAAGGCTTGGAGCAGCCCTCCCAGTGTGTCTCTGTAGTGATTTCGTAGTGATAATCAATAATCTATCAAGATTACAAGATTACATTGTGAAGATTGGCTTGGTAAGAGGACAAGTGAGGGGAAGGAAGATCTCCTGCTTACACACAGTGCCAAAAACTTCAGCTATTAATTTCAGGCTGTCAACTGAGCTGAAAGTAGCTTAGCACATATACTGAAAACTATGAAGGGAGACCTTCCCACAGTGCACTTAAATGATTGAAAAGAAATGGGACTGTATCTTTCATACCCGGAAGTTGAGGGTATCCAAGGTAATACAAGGAAGGAAAAAATTTACAGTCTCACCAGAAAGGCTATCCTTTACAGTTGTAAAGACTGCATTTTCAGTTTCTAAAATTTGCTAATCCTGTCCTGTTTCTGAAGTGACTACTTGTAGGAGAGGCTTGGAAATAAGGCAGAGATTTATTGCTAAGAACAGCTAAACCAAACTGTTAAATGATGACTTAACCCAGAGGGAGGCTCTGCCTCTCATTCTGTCCAACTCTTAGCATCAGACAGGTGTATTTCTTTCCTGATCTGGAGGTCTGGAGCTTCTTAAAGGTTTATTCACCCTCCAGCTGCAGATCCAACAAGACTAATTTATCAGAAAGAGTTGGATGCTTTTGAAAGTTCTAATACTTGAAACTAAAAATATCTTTGCACTTTGGCCACTCCTATTACATCGTCTGGTGTTTTTTCCACCTCTATGTTGTGATCTTACACAGATTTTCCTCCCACTGCTGATTTGGGCATTTTTTTTAGTTTGTCCTAGAAACTACAGGCTGAAGCCACTTGAAGTTTTTCACTGTCCCTGTGGTATTCCTCTCTCAGCTAGACGTTTTTAAAAGATTGATTTTCCTGTAAATAAATTTGCCTTCTTAT